TGCAGGCTGAGGCTGCAGGCTGAGGCTGAGGCTGCAGGCTGAGGCTGAGGCTGAGGATGAGGCTGGCTGAGGCTGACGCTGAGGCTGAGAGGCTGAGGCTGCAGGCTGAGGCTGAGGCTGAGGCCGAGGCAGGCTGAGGCTGAGGCTGGCTGAGGCAGGCTGAGGCTGAGGCTGAGGCTGAGGAAGGCTGTGGCTGAGGCTGAGGCAAGCTGCGGCTGAGGCAGGCTGAGGCTGAGGCTGAGGCTGCAGGCTGAGGCTGAGGCAGGCTGAGGCTGAGGCTGAGGCAGGCTGAGGCTGAGGCTGAGGCCGAGGCAGGCTGAGGCTGAGGCCGAAGCAAGCCGAGGCAGGCTGAGGCTGAGGCTGAGGCTAATGCTGAGGCAGGCTGAGGCTGAGACAGGCTGAGGCTGAGGCTGAGGCAGGCTGAGGCTGAGGCAGGCTGAGGCTGAGGCCGATGCAGGCGAATCCTTCGGAATCCTTAGGATTCCCTAGGAATCCTTAGGAATCCCTAGGAATCAGGATTCCTAAGGATTCCTAAGGATTCCTAAGGTTTCCTATGGATTCCTAAGGATGCCGAAGGATGCCTTAGGACTCCCTAGGAATCCTTAGGATTCCATTGGATCCTAAGGCCATTGCCACTGCGACTGTCATTGCGAATGCGACTGCGACTGCGAGAACAGCAGAACTCTACAACTGGATTCTCACCTGAATCTTAAGGGGAATGCTTCCAGATATGCTTATACACATCGCTATTAGATTGCTTTGCCGGGATAGTTTTTCTCTTGCACAACCTGAATTGGGTTCATGCTTTCCCAGAGCATCCTCCTCTCTCTTTTCTCGTCCTCCTCATCCTCCTCCTTCTTTCCTCCTCCTCTCCATCCTGCCTCCTGCCTGCGCTTCCTCCGTGCCATTCCCGCTCTACCAATTTCCGTCTGCCCCCCTCCCTCTCCCCACCTGCATGCACTGACACGCGACGATCGCGCCCCTCCCACATCTATAGGAACAAAAACAACTGCACTAACATGATTTCTCTAAGGTCCGCGCGGATTTCTTGGAGCGGTGCTCCCCCCCCTCCTGGCGCGCTCCGGCGCCAGGGCAGCCCCAGGGCCGATCCAAGAAATCCGCGCAGACCCGAACGAAGTCAGGCTATCACCCTTCCCCACCAGCCCCGCCTCCCCCTCCAGGGCCGCGCCAGCATACGCGCGGGCCATGTGAACGCCGCGTGATCTCTCGAGGGCCGTGCCCCTCCCCGGCCCGCCTGAACTCGAAGGAGGGGGGTTGGCGGTGCGCACAAGGGTGGTGGAGGGAGGGGGGGAGGGCTTCTCAGAAGGAAGCTGCTTCTTAGAAGGCGCCGGCCTCACATCTACAGACAAGGCCCGCGCCTTCTAAGAAGCAGGGGTGCTTCTAGGAAGCTTCCCCCCCCGTCCCCCCACCCCCCTCTGCGCGTGGCTGAGGGGGAGGAGGAGGAGGAGGAGGAGGAGGAGGAGGAGGAGGAGGAGGAGGAGGAGGAGGAGGAGGAGGAGGAAGAGAGGAAGAGGAGGAAGAGGAGGAGGAGGGAGGAGGAGGAGGAGGAGGGAGGAGGAGGAGGAGGAGGGGAGGAGGAGGAGGAGGAGGAGGAGGAGGAGGAGGAGGAGGAGGAGGAGGAGGAGGAGAAGGGAGGAGGAGGAGGAGGAGGAGAGGGTTTGGCCTGAGCACCCCGCAGGACACACCCGATACCGAACTCTTGTTTTGAGAGGCCAGACCCCAGGCGCGCGCTCAGAGAGCGCCGCGACACCACGTGTCAACATAGTTGTCTTTTCTTCTCACACTGGCAGGCCGCGCGAAGAGGCGTGGCACCGACGGGAGAGACAAAAACGACACCAAACGAGATTGCTCGTGGCCCTGGACGCGGCGAGGCAGCGTCTACTGGCCCACCACAGCAACCAGATGGCGTTCACGTGGAAGTGCAGCTGCGGGCGCGACGTCAAGCACTGGCACAACAGATGCCTGTGCGGGGTCACCTACAACCAGATGTACGGCGGCCACCAGCA